ATTACTATTGTTCTTTGTTAGGGTTTCATGGGTTAATTATGTGTTTGTGTGTGAGTATGTCTGTGTGTGTGAGGGTGTATGTATGTGTGTTTGTGTGAGTGTGTGCGTGCATCTCTGTGTGTCTGTGTGTGTGTCTCTGTGTGTGGCTTTGTGTGTGTGTCTGTTCCTGTGGGTGCGTGTTTCTGTCTCTGTGTATGTGTCTGTGTTTGTGTGTGTCTGTGTCTCTCTCTTTGTGTCTGTGTATGTGTCTGTGTGAGTGTGCGTGCGTGCCTGCTTGCGTGCGTGCGCGCGCGTGTGTGTGTGGGTTAAAATTTATAGATGCACTGCTCCCTTAGAAGCATAAAAGGACCGCTAGTTAGGAATTGGGTGTTGGACTGAAATTCACAACTATCGCATCCTAGATGTAAACCACATTGCAATACTGAGACCCCTACCGTTACACCCCCACCCCACCCCTTTTCTCCTTCTTTTTTTTTTTAATTTCCCCTTTGGCGACCAAGAGAAAAATAAATTTACCATCATCACCATCATTATCATTTTCATTATCATCATTATCGTCATCATTATCATCATTTTTATCATCATCATTATCATCATCATTATCATCATCATTATCATCATCATTTTCATCATCATAATCATTATCGCAATCATCATTATCATCATTATTATCATTATTATCATCATTGCTATGGTCATTATGGGCATCACAATCGTCACATTGACACCACCAACAACGAGAAAAGTAAAGCAAAGGGCCCTTTTCCATACAATCAGACCTATACCTATAGGCATGTGATAGTAAATCCCCATTTTGAAAGACCAATCGGCACTGGGTATTTGAAATGGTCAACATCAAGTCCTTCGCCTTTACTACACAGTACATTACCTGGCACTAAAGTTAGGCTGAATCAACCTGGGAGCCAAGGTAAATTTTAGGAAAAACAAATCCCGTTCGATGAAGGTTCGAACAGACGGTCTTCAAGTCGGCATGTCAGCGTCCATCACTACACTATTGCCACTTCCGACAGCGCTCATACACTACCACATTGATAGCCTAGGTACATTATCATCAAGAACTCACCCTAACCCTGATCAGGTATCGGCATTCGCCTCGAACAAATAATTAGCTTCACCACCATTAATTTGAGGAAGCCGCCATGGTCTAGAGCTAGACGCTAGCATGCAGATCGGAAGGTCCCTGGTTCACTTCCTGACGGGGGCCAGACTTTTCTCAAAAATAACCACGGCTCCCAGTTTAACCCAGCCTTGTGTTGGTACGAGGTGCAGTCCTGGGAAGTAAAGGCGGCCGGCTTGATGCTGACCACATCACCCCCAAAGTGCCGTTTGGTCTATAAAATATAAGTCTGGCCCTATATACCCGATACGCCTGAAAAGCGTGGAAAAGGGTCCTTTATTTTTAATAAAAATGTGAAAAAAAACAACAATATTGCCATCAGTGATATCCCCTCACTCACACAACATATCACAACTAACCTATACCACCATCAATAAAACCCTAATCACCACGAGCCCACATTAGACACCCTAAAACACACTCAGTCACTGTCATTTTTAACTCACCGTCAACATCACAAAATATATATTTTCACAGTCATCGAGGAGATGGTGGCCGAATGGTTAAAACGTTGGGCTCTCATGTAGGAGACACGGGTTCGAATCTTCGGTGAGGTAGCGGATTTTTTTCTGTCGTGGGCAAAAATAAATCCTCACCTGCACAGTTCGTGGCGACAGCACTAGACATGCGGCCTTAAATCCTCTGGCTCAAAGACCCCCCTCTCCCCCCTCCCCTCGCCTACACCACAAAAGGGGTACAATAAAGGCTGTAATTGGCAGTATTTGGCACAGACATTAATAAGTCATCTTAAAAATCACAAAACAGACGCCTTAACTACCAATAATAACTCACCTTCAGCACCATACAATATACAATTTCACCACCACCAATAACTCAAAATCAGCATCACAAAATATACGACCTCATCACCATACACCTTTAATAATAACTCGTTCACTAGCACGAATAACTCGTTTTTATCGCCACCAATAAAAAGCATTCGTGTGTTTAGGGCCAGCTGCTCCATATTTTTGGAGCTTTAAAAGCATTTGCGTGCTGCAACATGCAATGCGATCACGGCCAGTACGCCAGCTTAAAATTCTTCCTTTTTAGGATGACATTTTTTATTATTTGAAGCCCCACCGTGGCTTTTGCCAGGGGCCGCAATATAGGCAGCCCATAAATATGGCCAATTGTCTGAACGCGGTTTCTGGGACCTCTCCACGGCGATCCTCATCGACATCTTGGCACTTTGTGTCATCGGGTGTTTATCGATTGTGTGATGTCCTAGTGGGGTAGAAAGTCAGTCAGTCAGTCTAAACATGCAACACCCGATATCAACGCATCGCGGAACACCTAGTCTTATTTCGGTGAGGCGTGGGGAGATTACCGTTACGTGTACCTTGGGCTAGACCGAAAGGTTTTAGACCAATCAGCACTCAGTGGGTGATTGGATCAACATCATTAGGACTGTCTTTACCTCCCAGGACTTTACAAGGTGGGTAGACCGGGGAGCCAAAGTCATTTATAAAAAATGTATGGCTTCGCCAATATCTGAACCCACGAGCTTCGAGCGTCTAGCCGCTACACCACGGCTCCCAACCACCAGAAAAAAACGCCGCCTAATAGCCATCAAAACACCCCAAATTTTACTTTCAGTAATTGACCATTGATGACTGACTCACCTTCTGTACACACAGGGAGTCTTGACTAGGCTCAGCCAGGGCCAGGCAAACACAAACAGACAGCTGTAGATAATGGTGTACAGATAATATTCTAGTCAACACAAAAATATAAAATGTATAACATATTCATTGTGGTACTCATCGTCAGCTCTTATGCTAGGAGCTTGCATGTTGACATCGACATGTGAAGTACATTTCCCTCCCCGTGTCATCATTAATTATCTAATTCCAATTTCTTTTACACTGGATTCATCGACTATAAAACAGTTTTTGATATCACTGATATCATATATATATATATAAATGCATACATACGCATTAGTTACGTTAAACAGGTTGCGTACATAAATACATACATACATACATACATACATACATACATACATTAATTATCTAATTCCAATTTCTTTTACACTGGATTCATCGACTATAAAACAGTTTTTGATATCACTGATAAGAGATCTCTCTGGAAATTGATGGCACGCTGGGATCCCACAGAAATGTATTATCTTGGTAAAAGCGACATACAAAGACAGGAAATGACAAGTTGGTCATTAAGAAAAGCTAACAGATACAGTTGGATTCATCAGATACATTTGGATTCATCAGTTATTTTTGTATTCATCAGATACAGTTGGATTCATCAGATACATTTGGATTCATCAAATACATTTGGATTCATCAGATACAGTTGGATTCATCAGATACAGTTGGATTCATCAGATACAGTTGGATTCATCAGATACAGTTGGATTCATCAGATTCAGTTAGATTCATCAGATACAGTTGGATTCATCAGATAAAGTTGTATTCATCAGATACAGTTGGATTCATCAACTGTGAAACAGTTTTTGATAGCACTGATAAAGAATCTCTCTGGAAATTGATGGCACGCTGGGATCCCACAAAAATTTAAAACCTTGATAAAAGCAACATACAAAGACTGGAAATGACATTAAGAAAATTTAACAGATACATTTGACGTGAGAACATGTGAGCAACAGGGATGTTTTTGTTTATGTTTTTGTCGCCACCACCAAGTTACAGTTGATTCCTCTGTTTCTACTTGTGGAGCCAGGAGAATTATGCAGAGAGAAATACACAGCTGGCCAAAAACCAAGAAAAAGATGCACAGAACAAAAGAATACAGACATGATGTCTAGAAAGATCCCAGGTTTGGTCGGTTATCATTCCAATGAAAACCAAGCGGCACGGAAGACTGGAAAACATACTTCAAACAACAGACTTCATAGAGACATGTTGCCTTCTTATCTGAAAATTACTGGCAAGGAAAACGAAAATATAAATTAGGAAGAATGAAAATACCCTATATGGTCTAAAAAGCTTATTTCTTTTTCTTCTTCTGGTACATGTTATGAAGCGTTGTTTTGTTAATCATTTCTGACGCAGATGTTCTTCCATGTAATGAAGTTACAACTCCTGATTCGTGTACTGTCAGTCATTTCTGATGCAGATGTAATTCCATATAATGATGTAACATTTCCTGTCTCTTGTACTATCAATCATTTCTGACGCAGATGTTCTTCCATATAATGAAGTTACAACTCCTGATTCGTGTACTGTCAGTCATTTCTTATGCAGATGTAATTCCATACAATGATGTAACATTTCCTATCTCGTGTACTATCAATCATTTCTGACGCAGATGTTCTTCCATATAATTAAGTTACAACTCCTGATTCGTGTACTGTCAGTCATTTCTGATGCAGATGTTATTCCATACAATGATGTAACATTTCCTGTCTCGTGAACTATCAATCATTTCTGACGCAGATGTTCTTCCATATAATTAAGTTACAACTCCTGATTCGTGTACTGTCAGTCATTTCTGATGCAGATGTTATTCCATACAATGATGTAACATTTCCTGTCTCGTGTACTATCAATCATTTCTGACGCAGATGTTCTTCCAAATAATGAAGTTACAACTCCTGATTCGTGTACTGTCAGTCATTTCTGATGCAGATGTAATTCCATACAATGATGCAACATTTCCTGTCTCGTGTACTATCAATCATTTCTGACGCAGATGTTCTTCCATATAATGAAGTTACAACTCCTGATTCGTGTACTGTCAGTCATTTCTGATGCTGATGTTATTCCATACAATGATGCAACATTTCCTGTCTCGTGTACTATCAATCATTTCTGACGCAGATGTTCTTCCATATAATGAAGTTACAACTCCTGATTCGTGTACTGTCAGTCATTTCTTATGCAGATGTAATTCCATACAATGATGTAACATTTCCTGTCTCGTGTACTATCAATCATTTCTGACGCAGATGTTCTTCCAAATAATGAAGTTACAACTTCTGATTCGTGTACTGTCAGTCATTTCTGATGCTGATGTTATTCCATACAATGATGCAACATTTCCTGTCTCGTGTACTATCAATTATTTCTGATGCAGATATTTTCTTTTCCTATAATGATGAACAATTCTGATACACGTGTTCTTCCGTACAACATCTTCTGTTTCGTGTATTATTTCTGATATAGATGTCGCGACTGTAATGATAATGCAGCCTTTTTTCTCTCCTGATCTCTGCTTTCTTCTCTTTGTCTGTAACAATCCTTTTGTTACATTACGCCAGTATATCTCTTTTATGAGATGTTCAAAATTGTGGACTCTATTCTTATGGTATCTTACGGTAAGATTCTTTTTTCATACTTCTTAAAACTGTTTTAGTTAGTCTTAGTCTTTCCTCTTGTGTCGAGTGCGGCACATAGGGCAGAGGCCATGACTCTCCATGCATGGCGGTTCGTTGCAATCTGTTGTAGGTCTTGAATGTTTGAGTGGCCCATTAGTGAGCCTTCCCTGATGATAGTTCTACGTAGGGTTTCCCTTGGTCTTCCACGAGATCTTTTCCCCTGTGGTGTCCAAATGAGGGCTTGGTAAGGAAGTCTTGATTTATCCATTCTAAGGGCGTGGCCGACATAGTTCCAGCGGCGTTTTCGTATAAAATTAGACACATACTCTTGCCTGGATTCTTGCCTTATTTATGTATTGGTTCGGAAATCTGACCATTTAAAATTTAGTATTCTTCTAAGGCATTTATTTTCAAAACTGTCTAATTTTGTGTCTAGAGTTTTCGTTGATTTCCAGCTCTCGCATCCATAGGTTAGTACTGGAATCACACAAGATTGAAGATCTTGAGTTTTGTGTGTTTGCTAAGTGTCTTTGATTTCCAGATGTTGGACAGTTTATTGAAGGCACTAGATGCCAGTGCTATTCTAAATGGTATTTCTGGTGCGGTATCTCCTGTAGATGACATCTTGCTCCCTAGATAAGTGAAACTGTTGACTTTTTCAAGGCTGTTGTTGTTCAGCGTGATATCAACTGAACTGTTGGTAAGGTCTAAACGGTTTTATAAGGGTGTTATTTTTTTTCTAGACATCTCCATTATATATTTTTATCTGCCATTTGAATTATCACATTTCATTGAAAAAATCACTCTTCTGCAGTTTTGACATATTAAGAATAAACCAGCCTTCTTCTTCTTCTCTTCCACCTTTTACCTCATCGAAGTGTCGGGGGGGGGGGGGGGGGGGGGACATGGAATGTTCGTTGATGAGCTCTGATGTTCATTCGTAATGCCATCACTCCGGATTTTCCGAGGTCTTCCACTCGCTCTATACCCGTTGTAACGTTTTAGTGTGGCTCGCTGTAGTGGACAGTACTAGGGCATTCTTGTTAGGTGTCCAAAACACTTCACTTGTTGTTCTTTAATGACCTGTAAGACTGGCTTTATTCCTAGCATTCGTCTGATTTCATGATTTCGTATTCTGTCTTTCCTTGAAACTCCTGCAGCTCTTCTAATGCATTTCATCTCTGCTGTCACAATTTTACGTTTATTGGAGGATGTAAGTGTCCTCGTTTGGCATTGATAGCATAGTGTTGGCCAAAAAATAGGTCTGATAAGATTCACTTTAGTACTCCGAGGTATCTGCTTGTGTGTCAACAAGGGAGATAGTTGACCCATTACATGATTAGCTTTGGCACACCTGGAGCCGATTGTCCATAATTCACATTCATATATGAGGATTAGCTACCTCTAATTTCACCCGAAGTTATAAAGGCATATCACACAGATTCTTGATTTTGCGAAATGCTGCCTTTGCTTTCTCTTCCCCCTTTTTATTTCATTAGCTAGCTTCTTCGGTCCATCCTCCAACTAACGGTTTTCAAAATATCAAAATATTTTAATGTACACCTTCTATTACACCAGCCTTATTTAGTTTAATACTGCAGTCTGCATATTTAAAATGTGTAATTATCACGAGCTCCATTTTGTAATGCTGTTTAAACTAATTATTTTGTCATTAATTTATGTTACAATTATAACGGTTATAAAATGTTTTCATTTTCCGTGAGTT